AAGCCTACTAACCACAGAAATGAATGATAATTATACTTATAATAAATTAATTTAAATTAATTGTTTTATATTCGATTTATACACAACATTAATAAAACATTTTTTGAATATATTAATTGGATGGTTCATTATATAATTATTAGTTTTTAATTAAATAAACTACTGTTTATTTAATTTGTACCTATAATATAAAATAATTAAAAATAGTAAACTTATTATACAAGTTTGGTCTAAAATTCAAATTACCTCAATTTCAACATGCAAAGCAATGTCAAATTTAATTGAATTACTTCGTTTTAAACCCTAATACAGTATGACAAGTTTGGGTTAAATGGTAAAAAATATAGTTCAATTATAATATTTTTAGAACTATAACCTGAACTAATTAATTGCTTTATTCTAATCAAGTTTATAATAAAAATTAAATAATTAAAAGCAAGTCAAAAACGAAACACATTGTATAACGAATAAGAAAGCAATAAAAGGAAAGATAAGTATAAACTATCACACATTCATGATCATCACCAACATTTTAATGTGATCACAAACAATGTTAAATGCAGTTAAGACATTCAATAAAGTCACCATAACATTTTAAATATTATTCAATTACTACAGTCTAACTTCCCCAGAGTGTGTAATTATCGTTTTTGTTGTTATGTATTAAATGAGCACTCGGAACCAACCAAAATATAAAATAGACACGCTCTCTACCAAGTGGGTCCACGTTTCATTAAGCCAAAATCAAGCAAAGATTATGATTGATTATATTTTATTCGACAAAGTTTTTGAAAAATTTTGTTAAAATAAAATATTTATTTTTTTATCTTTTCAATAAATTAATGTTTCATTTCATCATTAGCATCAAAAAAAAACACCCTGTTATTTAAATTGATTTGTTTTAACGAGATAATTATTGATTTTTTGCGTTTTTTTTCTTTTTAGGCATTGTAAAGTAATACACATAATAACCTTTTAACATTTGGGAAACTTGGTTTATCAACTCAAAATTTATAAACCAAGTTTTCAACAACTTGATTTTTTGTTCAATGTTATTTTAAGTGCCAAAAACACAAATTGTAACACCAAAATTGTTTCAATTGCTTATAAAAAGACCATCATGAAGAGTGCACAAAACATGACATTGATCATATAATTTCCAAACGCGGCTGAGAACTCCGTGATAATAAGTATATTTCCCTTGTCATTTGGTGCTCTGACCCAGAATATACCTCCTTCTTCCATATTTCTGAAAGAATCGTCTCTGTCCCCCCATCCAGTGACGTCCGTCACATTTTCAAAGTCGTTCATAATCTTCGCATTTGAGTCGATACTTCCCAAAAAGAAGTCAGTCCCTTGTTTATATCCAACCAAAAAGTTTCCTTCAAATTTAGCAATGCACCCGTTCGACTTCTTTTTGTCGCTTATTTTTATGAAATCGACTTTACTTCGTGTTTTATTAGCATTGATCGACACAACGCCGATGTCTTGAATAGCACTTTGTGGATTTGCAGTACTTGCCGACTCCGGCTGAATGGAATTCATAATTAAGAGCCACCCATCCCCATTCTCAACAACTCCGCCAAGCTCTCCTGCACTCATTCCTCCTCCATTTCCAGCATGTTTATATAAAGTGTACTTCACTGAATTCTCCGCAAACATTCCAGTCGATGGATACGCGTCAGAGTCACATATATGAATCATCGTCTTGGTATTCGAATTCCACCCTTGTAACCCAGACATCATATGGGAACACCCCCATCCCCATATTTGCTGTACCGTGCCGTCATCAGTGACTGTAAAGAGTGCATCACCTTCATGTCCATTGTCGCTGTGAACATGAGTGTAGATGTGGAATTTGCCATCACCATAATTCACACGACTGTCTCCTATCCCATAGCCTTTGTCACTCCCAGCGGGGACACTCGAGGGAAATGGTGCCGTGCGAAGACCAAGAGGCTTGGTGAATTCTTCTTTGCCTTTGTGGGACACTTTTCTGAAGTAAATAAGACTCGTTTTGGTATCCCAAAGAAGAATACCATAAGTACCATCAGATAAGACGTGGAGACCTCGGACGGAATATCCTTTGAAAGTGTCTGTACGCTGAATCTTGTTCGACTGAGATTTGATTTTGAGAACAGTTCCTAAACCATTCGCATCAGTGTACCCAACGTAATAATTTGAAGAAGAATCAGAGGAGGGGTATAAACGAACAGAAAGTGAGGAATAAGCATACGCACGCCAGTTGGTTTCTCTGCCCAACAAATTGGTTGGAAGAGTCACTTCATAAGTCGTGATCCGTTCTTTGAGAGACGCGAATGTAAAAGGCAATATGTAAAAAAGCAGAAACATTGATATTGAAGATGTAAAATTAGTTTGGATAAAAATGGCTATTTCTACACATGAAAATCGACGTATTAGTTACTTACTAAAAATAAAACACTCATCATTATATTTTGTATTTAAAATCAAATGTTCAAAACTTTAAACGAATTTATAATCCATGTTAATACTTATACTACAAAATTTCTTGTTTCATTAAATAAGAATAAAAATTGAATTTTAAGGAAACGAACAATTTGTTTATGAATATAATTAGATGTTAGAATACTCTTAGACATAAATCGAATCTGTAGAACAGTTTCGAATATTTTCTTTGCTGTGTTTTAATAATTATTATTATGTTTTAAATAAATTACTTATAAAAAATAGTTGTTCTAATTATTGTATGTTGGTTAAAATAAAAAATAAAATAATAATAATTGAATTGGTTAGTATAATTATTACATAGTTGTTTTTATTATTAATATTATAATTTGTCTATAGTTACTCTTTTAATGTTGTTTTTTTTCTTAAAAAGTTTCCCTTTTGCAGAAAATACACAAAAAACCTTTAAAAAATGGGAAATTAAATAAAAAATCGTAAAACGGTAAATAAACTGATACAGTGATTATTTCGACACATTCCAGTTATTGATGTCTTAAAACGGGGGATAATGTTAAAGAATCAGAGTCCTTAAAAAATCAAAACCTTGCCATTACGTTTTGCGGACGTGTTTAAAAATATTTTTTTTTCGTATTTTTTTTTTCAAATTATGTTATTTTCGAATAATATGGCAAAAAAATAATTATGGTAACAAATAATTATACTAAAATAATTAAAACAATTAATTAAAGTTACAATCATTGATATAATAATTAATATTTTGTTTGATGTAGTTCTTTGTTAATAGCACAATCTTTGATAAGTAATCTGTTTTTGGTCGTTTTTTCTTTTGAGTTAGGTTCACAAACACGTTTTAATATAGAAAAACCAGATTCACATGTTGCAGTTGAAGGTGGTATGCTCATCAAATAACGAAGAAGGTTGTACAAATTTGAATTTTTCCTTAAAGGGGGTTAATAATCAAGAAGATCAATTTTATCAACGACCCACGTTTCTTTGAATTTATGAAGATGTTCTCTTTTTTGTAAAATAATACCATTTCTCAAGTGTACATAATTATCCATATTCTTTATTTCATTTACTTCTTCCATAAAGATTATCATACTTTTCGTTGGTTGATAATCACCGTTGATTATTTTATCAAAATGAATTGCAAAATGACACATTTCGTCCAACAAATTGCAGTGCGATTCTCTTTCTTTTTGTTTGAGAGGATTTATTTGACATTTTTAAATATATTTTGAACAAGTTCCTTTGAATTTTGGAGATGTGCAAACACTGTAAAAACGAACATCAAGTGTTGTTTCGAGTATCTGAATGAGATCTATCATCATTCAATATCGAAAAAATCTGTAGTTTCTTTTAAGTTAGGAAACAACACAAATTGTTTATTAATTATATCTATTTTCATATCACTTATTTTCGTTTTAAATAATTGAATTTTTTCATACGCTCTGAATATGCATGCATCCTTTCTTTGAAGTTCTTTGTTTAACATTTGGAGGTTTCCAATTGTATCCAAAATAAATAAAATGTGGGTTTTTATTACACTTCCACTGGACAACAAACACAATTGATTAACTGTATATTCACCACATTCTTTATCTTTGTCCTCAAAATCTTCCAAAAACTCGACCACATTATCGTAATGTTTGTGACACCAATCAAATATGGATTCAAGTGATAACCAACGAATTGGACAATAAGTTGGAGGCAACATAGAGTATTTTAAATAAAAAGACTTTTCAACTCTCAAAAATAACATATTTCAGATATGATTTCAACACATTCATTGGCTCCATCAACACTTAAACATTCTTCTGCGCATAGATCTAAACGGTGACAGAAACACCAAACTGACATAATTTCAAATTGTCGTTTGGGTATAACACTAAATTCTCGAACAACAAGAGGACCCATACCATTTCCCACCCCTTGCATGTTTCCTGCCCCATCCGTTACTATTGCAGATACTTTATTCTTGTCACATTTAACACATTTTAAAACTTCGATTAAGTTTTCTTTCATGTTCTCACCAGTAGCCTTGCCAGAATACGTTTTCACTTCAACCAAACGAGTGAGTACTTTTAAATCAGGCATAACAATTCTTGCGTAATAATTATACCAATGTTTGTGGTGTACTGTACATTCATCGGTCATTATAGCAACATGTTGTGCTTTTTCACATATTTCTTGTATGTTCTTTTCGATTTTGGTAGCTTCTATATTAATTCTTGAAATCATGGTTTGATGGCTTGATCTTATTTTGTCTATAATTCCTATTCCTTCCATTTTTATGTATCTTTTAATCATCACCAAAAGTTTTTCAAAAACTTCAGCTTTACATACAATATTATTTTCTGCAAATAACAATGAAATTTCTGTTGTCAATTCTATTCCACTTTCGATTAGTCTTTTATCTCTATTTACAGCAGATTCTGTCTCAACAGTTTCGTATTGAATGAATTCCATATTTTCTTTTTTTGAAGCATATTTTAAACCATTGAAAAAATATTGAGCAACTTTGCATTTGGTTACTTCATCATTATTTTCTTCGTGTGTCAGGTAATGATCTGACTCAATTGTTTTATTGATAATAATGCCGCAAACTCTACAGAAATATTTTCTATCAACTAAAACCTCCATATTTCTTTCTTTACCCCAATCAATTGTGTATGGCCTTTTCATATTTATTAACAGATTCTTTTAAATAAAAAATTATATCTAAAAACAAATTTTAGGTTAAAAAAACAAATTTTGGAATTTTTATATGTTAAAGAAGAAAAGTGCTCATAATTGTTTCAATTTTTGTTTCTTTCAAAAAGTTTAAAACCCTTGCCATTTATTTTTATTTTTGGGTACTCTGAAAGAATGACTCTAGTAAAAACCAAAAATCAATTTCAAATTTCGAAAAATTAAATAAAAAAGGTATTGAATTAAAAAATATGATGTTGTTTTAAAATATAAAAAGTTTTTTAACACTTTATAATACCATTGAAAATGATTAAGTGGTTTTAAAAAGGGAAATTTCGAGTTTATTAAATATTTTCCCAATTTTTTTAGTTTTTGATGTAGATTACATAAATAAAGCTGAAAGGAAAAAAAACAGAAAAAAATCTATATCTACTTGTAAAAACAGGTCAATTCAAAAACAGGCTTTATTTTAATTTTTAATTGTGTAAGTTTAGTAATGCAAAAACCAATTGTATCAACTTTGTTCATTTTTTTATCGCCAACTTTGATGTTAAAATGATTATCAGTCCATTTACTTTGAACTGTTAATTAGTTTTAGTTCGACTAAAATATGGTCAATTTTTATATATCAATTGAAGACCAATTATAATCGAATATGACATTAGTAATTTACATTCAATATGCAGATAGTTATTATGATTTAATATTTTTTGATGTTCAAATAATAATGAGAAATGTATATTAAAAATAACAATAAAAAATGTTTAATAGTTGTTATATTAATAACATCTAAAGTGTTAAATAATATTTAAATAATTATAATATTATATTATTTTTTATATATTATAAATATATTATCAATTGTTTTAAATACAGCCAAAGGCGTTTATTTGTGAATCTAGCAGAAAAACCAATTTTTTTGTCTTAAATAAATGAATTTTGTTAAAAATTCTTTTTAATATTTAAATTTATTTTTTATAAAAAATTGATTTTTAACACTTAAAATAACGCCCTTGTTTTTGATTGACTTGTTTTTACTGATATTAATCAAATTTTTGATGATTTTCCTTTTTTGGCTTGTGTATTGTTTTTCACATAATATAAACATCAAAAAACAGGAATATTATTTAATAAACTCGAGATTTCCCCGATTTTAGACCACTTGATTTTTGTTCAATGTTATTTAAGGTGTTAAAAAGAAAAACCGATAAAATTTGTCACTTACTAAATTTTAAATGATATATAATTAACATATTAAGTATATATCATCATAATTTATAATCTCTGTTGTTTTTTTTGTTTAATCAACTCAATAAACAAATTTTTAAAAATATTTATAAATAATTCACAGTGTATTTTTTATTGTAATGTATTTATATTAAAAATAATAACATGGATTTTCTGTATTTATTTAATATGTTATAGCAAAAAATAACAAATACAACCAAATTTTACCAATGAGATGTAACTAAATTAAATCAGCAACAATAACATCAGCAATACCCATAATCCAATTATAGTGTAACATTTATTTGGTGATTGCAATGGTTCAGGAAGGTCGTATTGATTTGTGATTTCTTTTATTATCATATCAAGACTTTGGTTGTAACACCCATAACCTTTTTTTGCACAATTTGACGCAAATGGGAAGAAAACAAAATTGGGTGCTTTTTTCAAATCATCTTTATTTGGGGCGAAACTCCCGTTCTCGTCCATTATTTCGCCATCAGTGAATGATTGCCCGACACTGACACTTATCATGGATTTTTGATAAATTCGAATATTATCAGGGAATGCCCACACACCCATTCCAATGTTTGATTTGGGTACGTTGATGTATTCCTCTTGTTTCCAATAATTGTTGTTTCCAGATTTCTCTCCGCGCACCGCGTCACTTCCAAAGTCTTTCATGTTTATAAGCACATTAGTAGAGACAACACTATAATTCACTACTTCAGAAATCAGTGACAGTTTGTCGGTTATATCAGTAATTCGAACAGCCATAAAAGGGTTCACTGTACTGTCTGAAACACTACCTTTGGGTAAGACGAAGCAGACTTCCATCGTTTTATTTGAGTAAGAATTAGTCTGATAATACACCTCAACAGTCTTTTCACTCTCAACAACTTTATTTAACTTAACGACAGAAGCAGACCAAAATGACGTCGTCTGTTTTGTTTGGGTGTCATTTTTAAAGTAATACGACATCGACGCCCAAAACTCAAATCGCCCAATTCGATTGTTTTTGTACATAAAGGTCGCGTTTTTATCTTCGAGTTGGAGTGTAACACCTCTTGTTTTGGTCACATCAAAAGTGAACTCTTTTTTCACTGTATTTGCATACAAAACCTCTTTGTTTGGAAAATAGTCGTTATATGAGAAATTCCCAAGTCTTCTTCTACAGTAATTTTCATTGACTTCCTTCAGTGTTTCGGTCAGCAATTCGTATGGGTAGTCCGTTCCATTGACAAGTCCATAATTCGAGTTTTCTTGGAAGGTCTCGGCATTTCCATGTTGTGATTGGTCCAAATATCTGAAGTAATGAGCACCAATGACATTCTCCATATTCATTAATTGCGCCATGAAGAATTTGACTGTATTTGACTTTCTGGACTTGGTTGTCCACACGTGTGCCTGCTCCGACTTGACTCGGTAACCCGGCATCGAGTGCTGGGAAGCTCCATTCAGTCACAATCAATGGAATGTCGGGTGCAAAGTTTGATATCTTTCTGACACTTTTGATAGTGTAATCAGGCACTCCACTGATAGGAGAGACGAATGGGTATATGTTAAATGTGTTGATGTCACAATACTTATTAACGATCTCTCCTATCGATGGGGAAGATCCAGGAAATCGTGTGCAGAAATACAAGTGATTTTTGTCATACTTCTGGAAAGTCTCTTTGATGGCACTAAAATACCTCTCAGCAACTTCTTTTATATAAAGTGCCCCAATCTCCTTCCCCTCAGTACTCCAGACAATTCCTCCTTTATAACTGTTCAAATAGTCGTTTATCGAATTGATATTTTTGATACCAAAATATTCTTCGAAGCACTTTGTTATATCATTTTGTCTGTTCTTCTCTTTTAAATACTTTTCAATAATTTTCGATGCAGCTATTTTTGCAGTGTGATTCTTTGGTAAGAGCCAAGTGGAGTTAAACAAATTCCAATCGCCTTTCTCAGTACCACGTTCTTCAGTCTTTCCCCACCACTCAAGTTCGTTATCAAAGAAGTGTCCGATGATCCAGGAATCATTCTTATTTTCTTCAAAATCCCTCAAAGTGATCTCCAAGTAGGGTTTCCACAAATCACTGAAAACATTCGGAAACCCCGTCCATGATGTTTTAGGTATGATGTAATCAAAGTTAACAGCAAAGTCTGAAGAGCCGTGGTTAGTCGAGTGAGGAAGACCACTGTGGAACATCTTTGTATCAACCCAGTTAGGAAGGGCATTGAAGCCCCAACTTTTGAGTCGATCTGTTTGGACTTGGTACCATTCTTCATAATCTTTATATTTGTTCTTTATAAACTCGTTATATGGAGAATTGTTTAAAACATAGTCGTACCCATCATATGGGTTTATTGAATTTGCACCTATCATAAAGTAAGGATACCCATTCGGATCGTAAAACCACCACTTCTTGTCTACATTGTTTTTTGATACACGGAAGAAGCCAGTGGCTTCTTGTTGTGGTGGATAGTCACACCCAAAATGTGCGTCATATTTTGGAAACACTTTGTATGTCTTATCAGAAAACTCGGATGCACTTGCACTGATTTGATAATGATTTGTCTTCGCACCATTCGCTTTAAATGTCGGGAAATATGATTCAGTTGCATTGAAGATGTATGTGGCGTTAAATAGAACTTCTTTTGCCTCAGAAAAGATTAATCCAGATTTCATCGTTCTGTCTATAGAAATAGTCAAATTGTATTTTGTGTTAAACGCCCAAGACCAGTCTTTCTTAACATAATAATACGACTTCGAAACGTATTTCCCTTGGACAGGCCAACTGTTGTTATACATCAAGCCAAGTTTAGCAGAGTGTTTATAATTGTTTGACTCGGGTTTGACGACTAAATTGAGCGACCAGTATTGACTAGGTGTAGCAAGAAGTGCAAACCCCGTCACTCCATAACTGGTCCTCGGCATGAAACTTTCAACCGGCCGAATAAGTGCAGAGGTAGATCCAACACTTATGTATTTGATTGTCTTTGGAGTCGAGTAACACGCTGATGTGCTTTTACCAGAGAACTGGTAAACGACTTACGAGGAGACTGTTTTAGTCAATTAATTTACACTGGAAGAGTTGTAATACGACGTCAAGTAACTCTCCGTTTCATACTTTGAAAAGTCGTCGTAGAAAGTAAATGTTAATGTCCCTACAAAGAAAAGAACAACAAAATAATTCATTTAAAATGTATTGTTCAGTTGTTGTTAAATATTAACGTCTTTTTTTCAAAGAGTTTTTGTACATTCAGGTTTATATTTTTTGGTTTTATTATAGTTTATATTAGTTTAATATAATAATAAGTTATTGTTTTTGATTATTTCAGGGTATCCCAAATTACTATGGATGTGCAAAATCTTTTTAGACCACAAAATCGAATCGCAACTGTTAAAAATAGAGCATTTTATAAATAAACAGACAAATTTTTTTTCTGAACAAATAAATTGTTAAATATTATTCAATTAATTAACAGATCAGTTCCAAAATTACAACATTTTGAAAATACAACATCTAGATTATTTTTAGAAATACGAACTGGAATGAAACAATTTTAAATTATAACACAAAAATTTATTTTAATTAAAACGAATAACTTCAAAACAACACAAATAACCTCTTACAACACAGAAATCAATTCTGACTTCTTTTGATTTCACAGAACCACACTCTTAGATCCACTTTATCCTACAATTGAATAGTTTATTTGATTGTTTTTGATGTTTACAAACAAACTTATCTTTTGGAATTTGCGTATTAATATTAAAACTGACACACTTTTTGAATATACTTTTTTCATATTTCATAATACATCACAAAAACGCCAATAAAGATTATTAAATAGTAACTCGTCAATACATAATAATTTTAAGAAAGAAAACAAATAGGAAATATTTTTTATATGAGTAGATTAAGATGTTTTTATTTTGGAAGATATTTTAATTCAATTTAGTTTGAATTTTCTAGACATTTCATTTTAATTATAAAATTACTGATAATGTTGTGATAAGAGTGTGACAGTATTATTCAGTAATGTATATGGTCAAATGGCAATGTTGTGTGTATGACCATATACAATCATAATTGGCAATCAACCATTTGTTGTTTACCTTTTATTTCTTATTGGAATATGAAATTAAAGTGAAGATGACTTAAATAGTCACTTATGACACAAATTTTTGTTTATAAGAACGAAACACAGATAGCTTTTGCTTATGGGTTTTTAATTTTTTTAAAGCAGATATTTTATGGATGAAAAGATGGAAATTTTAATGAAAACAAGAAATAGAATCATGCAAATATGTTTAATTTATTCTGGACTAATATGTTTTTATGTTTCGTATTATAAACTGTAGTTCAAAAGTCTATACCGCCGTATTTATAGAACTTCCTAAAGTCCCGTTTTTTATTTTTTAT